CACTAAACGGCAGCTTTCCATTTCTCCTCCCCTCTTGGTGCCATCACCTCCAGACTACATTGGTGCATGAACTGCTCTCCCAGGTAGCCCCCGTCTAAGCCTCCGGTGCCAGACACTGCAGAAGGCAGCAGGCATTTGTGTTCCCAGGTCTTGAACCCATCAGCAACCCACCAAGGAGGTGTTTTGGGCTGTGTCAGCAAGAAGGAGCCCCCCTCATTGGCCAAGCTTTTTCCTGGGCTTGTCATGTCACCTCTCTGGGCTCTCTTGGGGAGCAAAGGGTTTCCTAACCTGGAACTTTGCTCCAAACCCTCCTCTGCTGTCATCTCCCTTCCCAGTCTCCACTGAAGGAGCCTAAACCCAGGCAGAGCAGATACCTGCCAAATCCGTCAGGGCAGGGCCCAGGCACGGACACCCTAAAACCCTTCTCGCACCCATCGTGGGCTGTCACTGCATTAGCCACATGGAGGCCAAGCTGGTCTCCCCCAGTCCTAGCCCCAGCATAAAGATAGCATCACCCTGAAGGCTGGAAACCCACTGGTTCTGGGTGACTGGTGTCTGTCACAGCCAATTTTCGGTCTCTTCTCGCTGTACATGGCGCAGAGCTGGGCACTTCCTGCCTGGTTGCAGCACCAGTCATGCAATTTCAGCTCCTGATCTAGAGGCAAAAATTAGTGCGAGGGGCTAGGGAAGGGAGGAAAGCAAGAAATGCTGGCTCCGAGCAAGGCTGCGTCAGCTTGCACCAGCCCCAGCACAAGGGCTCACAGCATGTTTTGCAGGAATCAGATCATCCACGCTCCCTCCAAGGGTAACAGCATGTCAGGAAATAGGTTTGCACGGAGATTAAAATGATTTACAGCCTACAGTGACGCCAGCTTCAGCCACGCGACATGGCACGGAGAACCCTTCCTGCCATCCCAGCTCACCCAGACCTCCCCTGGCGTCACAGAGGCAGCAGGCGGAGGAGAAAAGGTTGAATTTATTCACCCACAGCACCAAGCCTGGGAAATCAGTCTGCATTTCAAAGCCCTTGATTTACCGGGGTAAAATCCCTCCCAGATGAGCATCACATCTACCCCTCTATAAACCACAGTCTCATTTCACACCAATTTCATGCCTTGTCTGATTTCACACCAATTTATCCTCCACAAGCTCCTGAATTTATTGCTGCCCTGACTCACCTCCTGCTGGCTGCAGGAGGCTGCAATTAGCTGGGCATTAGCTCAGTGTTGCTGCATTAGCTCAGCATTACTAAAGCCTTGGGCTATAAGGGCACTGCTCTCAGCCCTGTCTCCACCCTTCACTCCGCTGGCCTCCAGCTTCCCCATATGCAAAATGCAGCTAACCCGACATGTCAGGCTGGGCTGGGCAGCCTGCGAACAGAGGGTGCAGCTCTGGGGAGGGAGCTGGTCCCTGCCACGGTGGTGGGCTCTGCAATGCCAGTGCTGCTGCAGCTGGCAAGGCCGCGGGCCAGAGTCAGGGTTCGAGCACCTCAGAACACAGTGCCACCACCCGTGTCCTGGCCAAGTGGCCCGTGAACACATCCAAGTGCCTTAGCAAGCTCCCAGCAATGCCAGGCACCGAGATGGAGAACAATGGAGCCCTTTGCTGGTCAGCCTCTGATTGCCACTGCCACCAGTCCAGCATATGCCAGCGTTGTGCTGCTTGCCCTTATATCATGTAGCCTCTCTCTTGGCACAAATTTAGCTCATGCCTAAAGATATCAAGGAGCCTCTGCAGTCTTCTGCAGGAGGCTAATATTCCTGACGCACTGAATAACACTGCTGTGGGTTACGTGGGGGAGAGCTGGGCTGACTGTGCTTACCACGGTAAGGAGACGCTTGCCTCCAGGGCCGCCAGTACCGCTCCTGCCGCCCCTCGACAAATTGGCTCTGGCTGTCATAGAGGCAGCGGACCCCAGCGCCGTACTGGTTCGGAGAGGTGGAGTGCAGCATCGTCACGCGGGCGTT